ATACTTCGCGGTAGCCCACACCGACGAAGGGGCTTTTCTTTGGGAACCCTAACCGGAGCCGGAGTTCGTGTCACTGGACTCCGATCTCAAACACATCTCCTGGGCAATTGCAAACCAGGTTTTGTTCAATAGTTCTAAAATCTCTCCTTTCAATTTCTTTAAAACACCATTCATTCTCCCCCATTCATCCTATGATTCCACCCAACTGCGTTCCACAGACTCTGTTTCCCTTCTTGGATTGCCTATAACTTATTCTATGCTGGTCCCCTTTTAAAGCTAAGCTTGCCTCTCGTGCTGCGCGCATGGTTGGATTTCTATTTCGCGCCAGACGCTTTTTTCACCCCAGCTCATCTTCTATTGTACAAAGTTCAAATCCGCCCTGCTCTTGAATACTGTAATCACGTGTGAGGTGAGACTTCGTCCTCTTCCCTTTCCTTTCTTAATCGTGTTCAACGAAAGGCCATCCGGCTAATCGATGATACTTCTCTAGCATCCAGTCTCCAGTCGCTAGCCCATCGTCGGGCAGTCGCTTCATAGTCTCTGTTCTACCGCTACTACTTTGGTTTTTGTTCTTCGGAACTTGCCTCGACAGGTCCTCTTCTTTCAACTTTTACTTGCTCATCGCGCACACAAGCATCTAGTCATCCTTATCGGATTTCGGTTCCCAGGTGTGATACCTCTCTACTCCAATCCTGTTTTTTTTCCTCCAAACTGCCAAACTGTGGAACACCCTCCTCCTTGTTGTTTTCCCCCAACTTACAATCTTACATTTTTAAACGAAGAATCAATCAATCAATCAATCAACTGAACCTTACATGAATGTTCCCGTACTCTCCCTTTTACAGTATGCTATTTGTCCATGGGGATTTCCCCGTTTAGCGTAATTCACATTGTGTAATAAAAAAAGTCAGTCAGCCAACCACTCACTTGTCTTTTTATCATACACAATTTTTCCGTCGAGCATTGTTAGTATATGAGCGACGCGACAAAATTTCCCTGGAATCACATGACCGGTTTCCCGGTTTTTACCGCTCGTCAGACTTGTGTATCCAGTAATCTTTGGTTTTTGCATGTCGTATTGCACTGTAGTAACGAGATCCTCTGATGGTCGTTTCTTTCCTTGATTCTGAACAATGCGATGTAAACTTCATGTTGAAGATAATTCAGCCTAAATTAATGTGTGCTTCATCTCTTTCACACTGATCTCTCGCTCTCCCTATCCACGCAGTATTGTGTCCATCCATCCGCTTTCTACCGGGTTGTGCCACTTGATGGCGGTCACCAAAACCGGGATTCGGTTGTACTTTGGCGAGAACTTACGCCTACTTCACATCCGTCTACCACCAACTTCTCCACACGGGACGATTGGATTAGATGAGGTGAAGTAAGTCACTAGTTTTTAAAAAAATCTCTGTCGAAATAGAGTGGAATACCTAACTCGCTCGCTTTATGCTACTACCATGTTCCAGTCGGGGATCTTAGTGGCAGATCAATGCTTATCTAGACTCCTCGCTATCGTACTAGCGAAAAAATGATTGTCTATTTAAAAGCAGCATGAGCAAAGTTGCACTCAGTTCCTTCCTCTCACTTGCCGCAAACTCCCACCGGTTGTAGCGAGCTTCTTTGTCGTTCGGATCCAAACCATGTTTATCCTCTGAGATTCTCAACTGGTTGGCCGCCCCAAGTCACAGAATCAGGGTCGCTGGTTCCCGTAACTGAATAGTCGGCCCTCGTGACTCTACTGTTCATCACATTTTCATAGTCCATAGTTAACAGATTTTGAACATTTTTCTGCTTTTTGTGAATACTGAACACATCAGCAAAGCTCTGTGAGAGTGCATCTCATATCAATAGTGGTTGATGTTACAGTGACATTCACATCCCGTTTTGGGTTTGCTCATACAGGACTCTTATTCACCTTGTCATCCACATAACAAATACCTCCCTCCATCTGGTACTTCACGTTTGTTAGAAGGTCAGTGACAAACACGTTTGTTTTCGGTGCTTCATCAACTTAACAAATACTGCTCAATTATTTAAGTCATTAGGAACGGGAAAGGGACTGCAGAACACAGCATGAGGTGCCGTGAGTGGTAGTGGTGGGCAGCTTTGCTGTCTTCCGGTTCAATACCACGCCTAACCTGTCGGGGGCGTTGTGTGGTTCACCACATCAAGTCCCGGGACTTAGATTACCGCTTTCTGTCACTGCGTGGCAAGTCTTTGTGACTAAGTGGTCAATCTCGTCTACTGTTCACTACACAAGTGGGTGTAATAAAAATGTACCAGACCCGTAATCAATGGTGCAATGTTTGTCGTTTGTTTCTGTGGCCATGCTCGTTACCTGATCCGGCTAGTCATGCATGGCCGAGCCAACCAGGGGGCTCTAAAAGATTGTTTCTGGCCCCACAAAGTGTGATTGTTCACTCGTGCGGTGATCGCCTCAGCAGTGAATAATAGTCGTCTTCTGTCCTCGTTCAGCCACAAACCTCGGATTATGTGCAGCAGGTGAACCAACCGAGTGGTTGCTGTCGACTACGTGAGTGGCCGCTGCGGTTGATTTGGGATTTTTACCAGTGGTTTTTACCAAACCGGGTGATGTTGGTTTCTTCATTTCCTCAGTCATTTTATCCTAACCGCCGTTGTAGCGAAAAATAATCCTGTCAGCATTCTGGATGCGTTCACTCATTCCCCCGAGAAGTTGATGAGCGAAATCGAAGCACCGCCACCATGAAGTATGTAGGTGTGCGTTTGCCTCACCATTCAAAGTGGAGCACTTCCTGTGACTAACCGTGTCGAATGCCTGTGTTATACAATTACGGGTTGGTGTTCACTTTCTCGACCCAAATATCCGTATCGTACCCCACAGTTTCCCTGTTTGTATCCTTTTTGTTCAACCAGTGATAACAACTAAATGTTACAATTGAAGTACTCGTAAAACTATCACCGTGCGATACTGGGTTTTACTTTACTTTACTGCGGCTGGATCCTTGGAAATGATAAGCCGGCTCCAGACATGATCATGATCAAGATCATGAAGTTCCTTGGGAGTTAGGTACGAGAGACGTCCCCAGCGACACGGCGTTTTTTTGTTTTGAGGGTGCACCTCTAATCTTTGCACAAGCAAGTGCGAACTGCAAGGCAGCAGGAAGTGATCCCTCACCCCAGAAGTGAGGGGTTCAATGACTTTAGTTTTAAAAGGCCAGTCACATCGACTTGTGTCACGACACCGTCATTGGGCCTATGCGGTTTTTCAACAGGAGTCAGGTGAACAACTTGAAACCCACACCACACCCTGATAGTGCCCCGGCTGTTTGTTCGCGACTGCTTCTTTGTTGCCATTTACCACAACTTATTCACAGCTAATCTTCTTCGGTGAAGGTATCTCCCTATCCACAACCCATGGACGCGTCTGGTAACACTCAACTCTGCTTAACCGGAGGGTATCCAGGGTTTGGATGATAATGGTGATGATATACGATCGACAGTCCCTTGAACCCACAGAAGCAGTAGAACAGTTGAACTGTATGCTTGGGTGAGGAGGTGGTATAGGAAAAGAACATTTCCCACATCTTCCGTGTCGTGGTAGTGCTCACCGACTCGATTGTCTATCTAGATGTACTGGGCACCTTGGACGTTGGACTCCGTCCAATGGGTGTAGGAATCGTTAAGCTGAACATCGGCCCCTAATGGATTCAGGTTTCCGCACACCGCCTCGCTGCCTTGCCGGTCAGGCTTTGGCTAGCCAAAGGCTCCGGTTGAGAATATCCTTAGAAAATGCACTGGCTTTGGCCTGGGCAACCCGGCGGTATTCCGCCCATTAGCAAATATTAGAACGTTTTTCTTCTTATAAATATTATTGTACCGTGATTTGTTTGACACACAGTCAGGATTCTGACACGTGTGAAGTACAAAACAAACTACATTTCCACGAGATTGTGATTGAGTATAGAAGGAAAATAAACACATGATACATAGTTTATCAGCGTATGATTAGACATGAAGTGTATGTGAAGTAAACTTGCGAATAAAATCCCTTAGGTCGAATATATATATTTATATTCATATTCATGTGGTGCCACTTGTGTGGCTTAGCACATTCTAATCGAAATCATACGGACTGACAAGGTAAGCCCACAAATAACTACTTCTGATCTTAGCACGGGGCGTAGGGCTCATCCTTACAGCAGCGTCGAGCATTTCTCGACCATCTGTCTCTTCAGCTTCAAGAAGGAGCTAGGCAGAAGGGAAGGAGTAAGGAAAATTATGGAAACGGTCTCCTGCTATGATGGGAACAAAGTTTCTTTCTCGATCTGTTCTATTATTAGACAAATTTAGCTGCATGAGTATGACGACTACCATTACTTTCCTGATCATACATACTGTTACAAAGACTCATACTGTACACGGTGTAGTTTTCCAGCCGCTTCTTGATTGCTTTACGTCCAAGGTTCCTTGGATTCTCATCTTATGCAGTGATTCTGTATCATCAAATACTTATCCATAGCTTCGTTGTCTGTCTTTCAGACTGGTCACCGAATCACGTGGAACAGTGGTCCTCCTATCCGCTCTTCCACATCGCCCCAACCCTACATTTCCGTCTCCCGCTACGCCATGGACCAATGTCAATGCCACTCCCGGGTTCCCAGACGCGATCGTACCGACCGGGGGCGCCACGCAAAATTTGCATCCGCGGTCGGACGAGGAGTACGATGTACCGCCACATGTACTATACACCATCAGTCCGGACCCGTATCCGTGGACACCAAATTTGGCTGAAGTGTGCACCACAGCCTGGTGCACAGGTGGTGCTTGGGCTCTAGTGGTATTGCCACCCCGAGACACATTGGCCTCCGGATTCAATGCCCACTCGACCGACGACAGTCAATCGAAAAGGTAATGAATGTGGTCCATTTGTTTCTACGTGGTACCTATATGACACAAAACATAGGTAGCATGAAAGATTGGTTTCTTTTACGATTAAACTTACAAACTTTCAGTGATATTTGATTTTATCAGAAAGGAATACATTATCAAAGGTTCCCCCCCCCTATTCTCGCAGGTATTATGCCAGCCTTTTTCCTCTCTCTTCTGTTTCCTACCCTTAAATCTCAAGCCCGATTTCTTATCTTAACTTTTCGCAGTAGTGCGCAAGTTGAATTGCTTTTTCCCCCGGCGACCTTTTCATACTCAACAGTTTTTTTCTTTTATGATTTTCCGGGACTCACACCTCCGCACCTTCCACACACTTGAATTCTTCGGTATTTAGATCATTTCAATACTGGCCTTTTTCCATCATCGTAATAGGCCTGTTTATTCTCTATAGCGAATTTAAATGCAAGCGTTTTCGTGTTCACTCCATCCTTATGCATAATAATTATTCTCATTTTACCACTAAGGTTGAGGAATTTCTCTGTCATCGATGGTCCCACTAGGATTTACGGGAAGCTACTGGCTTTCACTCTGACGGTGCACAAGTTGCGATGAATTTGTTAAGTGAACCTAACAGTCCTATTCACATTTAACTCAGTTAATTGTGAATAGTGGTGTGCGATAATTGATATTGATTGATTTGAACTGACTATCCTTCGGACTTCGGCACGCACAATCCTCAGTTCATCGGTTCAACCATACACTAGGAAGCACTAGACTCGAGTTTCGCTCTTTTTGGAGCTCATCAGTAGTGCACATCCACCCTCCCGTCCGGGCTTTTTACTTCAGACCCATTGTATGGAACGTGTGCGCATTGCCACTGTGTCAACCGTCCTAGTGAACTGACTGACTATCATTGATGATAATACCTGAACAAGCATGAATCGGTTCGACCATAGTATGAGCTGGTTGGCATATGCATTTGCAATAGCCGCTTCAGCAGTAGTCAATGGTTTTCACAAATAACAGAGAGAACTCAGCAACACAGAATACGAGGAATTCATAAATATTAATTTACACTAAGTACATATATATACTACTTATTAGAAAATATTCCATAAAGACCCTGAAGTTTGTTGCGATTAGTAGCATCTAACCCATCTACAGGACATCGAATCACAGTATTGGTTCTTCAATGGACTGGCTCTAATGAGCTGTCTATCTAAGATTAAATTTCAAAGGTGAATTCGTCGTGTATATAGCAAATGAAGCGTGAACTGAAAAGCTAGGAAGCACTGGACAGCTGTTTCCATCTGGTTGGGTTTCATCACCTAAGATTACCCGGTGTTGCGAATGAGGTTATCGTGACGAAACCACACTTTCTGGGTACAAGCATATGAATGAACTGACAAAAGATTACCAGATACACATGCCTGACTAGTGGCAAGAACCGCGAAACCGGTCTTCTGCTTCTGGGGAAATTTTGTCCATTCGTTCATATACTACTTATTGGGAAATATATATTTGCAATAAAGTCACTGTTTTTAATACATTTCTTCTTTTATGTATTTGTAGATGAGGATTGCAAGTATTCACAAGGGAATTTCAGTACAACGCATTACATAATACCGATTCGAACCTGTATCCCTCAGGACAGCAGCTACGACGCAAGCGCCTAATGCTGACTGGTATTGCAAGCACAAACATTTTAGACTGCTAATGATACGTAGTTTCCTAACTTTCCTCTGCTCTCCTAACGCTCGGTTGGATCGTGATCGGACAGATAGTGAAAGGATCTCACACATAAAATACTAGTAGACATTTGGTACGAAGTAGTTAAACTCGTACTTAACGTAGTTGTCACAATCCGTGGTCCTTTATGGAAGGGAACTTTACACCTCCATGAGTTCTTATGTCTTCCTAGTTTCAGGTTAGTTGGTGGTGGTGATCCATAGGAAAGGTGTTGGGATATCGGTTGAAATAAGTCATCCTCTAGCTAGAAGTAAGTGGTGGTGGCGCAGTGAGTTAGTCGCTGTCACCGGCGTGCTTTAGACCCCATGGTCCGAGGTTCGAGCCCCCGCTCCAGCCACCCGACTTTGGTGGTAGGCAGCTCTGCTGTCGTTCGGTTCAATACCACACCCAACCTATCGGAGCCTTATGTGGTTTGCCACTCCAAGTGCCGGGGCTTAGGTTACCGGTTTCCATCACTGAACAGCAGGCCCTCGTGATTATGGGGTTCCACCCCGTCTGCTGTTCATCACACGAAAGTGTGTAATAAAAAAAATAACATGAATCATGTTCCATGCAATCCTAATTTTCACTGCCAATGCACCAGCTTCCAGCAAGGCTCTTTGACTGGCTTGTACGCATCTAGAATTATACTTTTTAGATCGAACAAAGTTTCACGGTTTTATGCTTTTTATGGTAACAATCTTGTTACTTTCGTGATATTTCCTCTTCGTCCAACCTTTCGATTGCCTAGTTCCAAACAGTCTGGTGAGGACGCAACATTTCGTCGGGGTTCTCCTCCAGTTGTTCTTACTCAGCACCTAGATCCACCATGTCGACGTCTAATTCTGATCTCTGCTCAAGGTATCGTTCATCTTCGGTTGCCCAGTCCGTTGACTAGATTGAAAGAGTTCCTCATGAAAGAACTGTCTGTTATTCCTCGCCTCGACTTGGATGGTTCGACTAATCAATCGATTTGGCCAAGTCTTCGTATGAATCAGTCATATCCATTTCTCAGTTTGGAAGAGTCGGCAGCTTGTGAAGTTCCTCTGAATACGGGATTTCTGGCCGCCTATCTACACCAGTTCAGTCCGGATGAGGCGATTTGTGCGGCGC